CTTCCCCAAACTCCGCTTTCCCCAAACTCCGCTCTCCCCAAATTCTGCCCTCCCCAAACTCCGCTCTCCCCAAACTCCGCTCTCCCCAAATTCTGCCTTCCCCAAACTCCGCTTTCCCCAAACTCCGCTCTCCCCAAATTCTGCCCTCCCCAAACTCCGCCCTCCCCAAACTCCGCTCTCCCCAAATTCTGCCCTCCCCAAACTCCGCTTTCCCCAAACTCCGCTCTCCCATCCCTGCCCAGCTCTCCCAGTGCCGCCCCGGTCTCTGCCGCTCTCCCCGCGGGGGCACCTGGGCACGTACCTGTACCTGGTGCCAAAGTACTGAAAGAACACCAGGTACCGGGCCGGGGCACAGCCCATCTCTGCCGGGGGGCACCCCCGGGACCCACCCCGGCACCGACCGGCCGGGCAGCACCGCCCCTTCCCCCGCTCGGCACCGCCGCTTCCGCCGCCGCCCGCGCCGGGGGGGCCGCGGGGACCGGGATGGGAGGTTGGGGCTGGAATGGGAGGATGGGGACCGGGATGGGAGGATGGGACTGGAATGGGATGATGGGGAGCGGGATGGGAGGATGGGGAGCGGGATGGGAGGATGGGACTGGAATGGGATGATGGGGACCGGGATGGGAGGATGGGGACCGGGATGGGAGGATGGGGAGCGGGATGCGCAGGAGGGAACGGGATGGGGTCATGGGGAGCAGGATGGGATGATGGGGAGCGGCTTATGGGGACCGGGATGGGCGGGGAGGAGCGGGATGGGATGATGGGGACCGGGGTGGGATGGTGGGGACCGGGATGGGGTCATGGGGAGCGGGGTGGGATGATGGGGACCGGGATGGGAGGATGGGGAGCGGGATGGGAGGATGGGGAGCGGGATGGGAGGATGGGGAGCGGGATGGGAGGATGGGACTGGAATGGGATGATGGGGACCAGGATGGGATGATGGGGAGCGGGATGGGATGATGGGGACCGGGATGGGAGGATGGGGAGCGGGATGGGCGGGAGGGAACGGGATGGGAGGATGTGGAGCGGGGTGGGATGGTGGGGACCGGGATGGGGTCATGGGGAGCGGGGTGGGATGATGGGGACCGGGATGGGAGGATAGGGAGCGGGATGGGCGGGAGGGACCGGGATGGGCTCATGGGGACCGTCATGGGATGATGGGGAGCGGGATGGGGTCATGGGGACCGGGATGGGAGGATAGGGAGTGGGATGGGATGATGGGGAGCGAGATGGGATGATGGGGACCCGGATAGGCGGATGGGGACCGGGATGTGATGATGGGGACCGAGATGGGATGATGGGGACCAGGATTGGGCTCATGGGGACCGGGATGGGGTCATGGGGACCGGCACGGGTGGGGGGAGAGCGGGATGGGATGATGGGGAGCGGGGATGGGCCGGTGGGGAGCGGAGTTGGGCTGGTAGAGCCCAGGGATCTGCTGATGGGGGCCGGGGATGTGCTGGTGGGAACACCTCACCCTCACAGGGTTTTCCTTCTACCTGGAGAAACCCAAGTGGCTGAAGGTGACCTGGGTGGTGAGCACGGGGAGCAAACCCCTCTGGAACCCTGGGATTCACCTCGGCTGCTCCTCAGCTCCTGCAACTTAGTTGGACCGGAGAAACTAATAACTGTATTGATTTGACTTGTGAAACCCCATGGAGGCCACAGGAAGTCACCTTGTCCCTTCTCCCAGGCCTGGGAAGAGTTCTGCAGGGCTCATTGCCTTCCCTGCCTTCCTCAGACCTGATAACTGTGGTTATTATCTAGAACTGATCAGCTGATAACCGTGTTAAACTATGTGACCCAGCTTTGGTTGCCTCAGTGTTTGCCATTGGAAACCACCAGAGCCTGACTCACTGTTTGTTTTTTGTCAATTCCTAACGGGATTTGATCCCTGGGGCCATTCCCAGCTCAGGATGGGGGTATCACTTACCTGTCAGTCCCCCCCTGAGGCAGAGGAGAATGGCAAAAAGTTAAAATGTTAAAGCAGGAATGTAACTCTCACACAAAAAAAGTGGTTTATGGGGATGTGTCTCTGTGTCCAGCCCTGGGGCCTCTGGGATAAAGAGAACATGGAGCTGCTGGAGCAAGTCTAGAGGAGGCTACAGAGCTGCTCCAAGGGCTGGAGCCCCTCTGCTCTGAAGCCAGGCTGCGAGAGCTGGGGGGGTTCCCCTGGAGAAGAGAAGGCTCCAGGGAGACCTTAGAGTCCCTTCCAGGGCCTAAAGAGGCTCCAGGAGAGCTGGAGAGGGACTTGGGACAAGGGCCTGGAGTGCAGGACAAGGGGAATGGCTTGCCACTGCCAGAGGGCAGGGATAGATGGGATATTGGGAAGAAATCCTTACTTGTGAGGGTGGGAGGCCCTGGCACAGGTTGCCCAGAGAAGCTGTGGCTGCCCCAGCCCTGGGAGTGTCCAAGACCAGGTTGGATGGGGCTTGGAGCAACCCGGGCTAGTGGAAGGTGTCCCTGCCCATGGCAGGAGGTGAGAACTGGATGATTTTTAAGGTCCCTTCCATTCCAAATCCCACCAGCACAGGCATTTCAGGCAATCCCACATCCATGTATTTCAGCCTGCCTGTGGAAAGATGTGTTCAGGCAGCCACTGGCTGAGGGTAAATAACAGCTACGGGGACAAAAATAGGCAAAGATAATGATAATACACAAAGGCTGCAGATGTTCTTAATGACTGTGATCTGTATTTAAAAATCTTGGTCTTTCTGGAACACTGAACTGCAATGTCTGTATGTGCAGAAGCCTCAAACCAGTACAAACAAGCACCCAACTCGTTAGAAAAGCAGGGAGAGAGCAACAGAAAAATCCCCGGCCCCTCATACAAATCTGAGATCTGCTTTGAATGGAAAAATCCAACCGGCTTTCAACCCACACAATGGCATCCAGACTCCATTATAATGAAAGTGATGAATCTCAGCTTTAAAGGGGACGGTGATTTCTAATCCCTGAGCCTGGGCACACACACAGACACGGGCGGGAGCAGCCGCCCCCTTTCATCTCTGCTGGGAGCACCAAAGGAAATAATCACTGCATTGGGTTGACCTTTATGAAACCACATAAAACAGAGGCCACAAGAGGTCACCTTGCCCCTTCTGGACCGAGGTGTTTGGCAGGGCTAATTCCTTTGCCTGCATTCCTCAGAACCCTCCAGCATCTGATAAGTGTGTGAAGTGACTCACTTTTGCTCACACAAAGGTGCTCCTGGCTGTGGCTGACAAACCCAGCAGGTCTGAGAACCCAGGCAGAAACAAGGGGGCTGGAGGAGAACCTTGGCTGTAGTTTTTGTGCAGGAATGACATTAAACATCTCATTTCACCCGATTCCATCACGGTTCTGAGGTAAGGCCTCCTCGTGACATCGTGTCATGGATTCAGACACCCCCGGCCCTCACGTTTGACTCATGGTCATATTACACAGGATTTTCTTAAAACGTGGAGATTTACACTTCAGGCCCTTCTCTCAGTTCCTATAGAAGTTCATCTCTCAGTTCCTACAGAATTTCCTCTCTCAGTTCCTATAAAACTTGCAGTGAATGAGGTGTTTGACACTTGTGTCTGTGGTGCTGGGTGGGGGGAGGCTCAGGACTAAGCCCACACTAATTAGCCTCATTTATCCACACCACATTACGGTGCTTCTCCTGTGGCAAACGTGATCTGTTCAGCTGGACCCCCAAGCCCAGATGTCTTCCTTCCTTGGGTGATTATGTTGGATCCAGAGGAGACACTGCAGATTTATCACATGGCTGATGGCAGCAGCAAATCCACTGTGTATAGAAAATTAAAAACTAGATTAAGTAGTAACAGGATTGATGTCAATCCTTTTGCTGCTGCTGATATAGAATTACACAGTTTGGTTGGTTGGGTGGGTTTTTTTTCCTCCAGTGCACACAACCTGTGGCAATCCTACCTGCAAATCATGGAATGGGTTGGGTTGGAAGGGACCAACCCCTGCCATGGGCAAGGACACCTTCCACTAGATGAGGCTGTTCAGAGCTTTGTCCAGTCTGACCTTGGATGTTTCCAGGGATGGGGCACCCCATCCCAGTGGTTTTAACACCCTCACTGTAAAAAATTCCTTCCTGACGTGACTGGCTGCCCCTCCAGCTCATCACAGCCTGGGCTGGTGTCCAAGGTGGTGGCTGCTGTCACAGCCAGCTCAGCCCTGAGCCATGTCCTGAGTGTCATCTGAGCACCTATCCTCACCCAAACAGAGGAGAAACAGGCAAAACTTCCTTCCCAAAAGGGGTGATAACATATTGGAATGGGCTGCCCAGGGAGGTGGTGGAATCACCATCCCTAGAGGTGTTTGAGGAAAGGCTGGATGTGGCACTGAGTGCCGTGGTCTGGTTGATATGGTGGTGTTGGGTCATAGTTTGGACTCGATCTCACTTTAGAAAGGACATTGAAATGCTGGAGGTTGTCCAGTGAAGGGCAACAAGGCCATCAAAGGTCTTATGAGGAACAGCTGAGGGAGCTGGGTTTGTTTAGGATCCAGAAGATGAGACTCAGGTGGGACCTCACTGAAAGGACATTGTATGGAAGAGGGGTCTGCTTTCCTACCGTGCTGGCACTGAGAGGGAGGACTAGAGGGAATGACCTTGAGATGAGATGGTGGAGATTCAGACTAGATATTAAAAAAATGTTTCACTGTGAGGGTGGTCAGGCACTGGAACAGGTCTCTCTGTGAGGTAGTGGAGTCACCACCCCTGGAGGAGTTCAAGATGAGACAGGGGAGAGCCAGATCAGACATTAGAAAAAATTTTTCACTGTGAGGGTGGCCAGGCATCGGAATAAAAAGGTGGAAAAAGAAGGGTGGTCAGGCATTGGAATAAAAAGGTGGAAAAGAAGGGTGGTCAGGCTGCCCCGGGAGGTGGTGGAGTCCCCATCCCCCGAGGTGTCCCAGAGCCATCCGGATCTGGTGCTGGGCGCTGCGGTCACAGCGGGCGACAGCTGGACTTGATCCTAAACCCCTCTCCCAGCCGTGATGTTTTCATGGTCCTATGACCTCAGAGGTCGTTCGCACCCTAATTAACTCGGTCACTGCGAGCCAAGGTGGTGCCTCCCCCCCACCCCCCCACCTGAGCGCGGTGCCGGGCAGGGGATGCCCGGCGGGGCGGTGACCGCGCTCGGTCCCGGCGCGGTGCGTGGCCGGCGGTGGCCGCGGTGCCCCGGTGCGGTGGGAGGGAGGCGGGTGCCGGGCTCGCTCCATCCCCGCAGCGGCGGCGGGGGGCGGGCGCTGCCCGCGCGTCCTCGGCTCCAGAGCGGCGGGCGATGCGCTTCCTCCGCTGAGCGCGCCCAGGGCCGACCGGCAGCATGACGGTGGAGTTCGAGGAGTGCATCAAGGACTCGCCCCGGTTCCGGTAAGAGCGAGGCAGCCGGGGCGGCCCCGGGAATGGTTTCGGGCCG